CCCAATGTCCATCTGCTGCCTTAATACTAAACCTATAGATATATGCACGTAGATCTGTTTCCCCACACTCTTATATAAATATATTTACATACATATGTATATTCCAGTCCTAAAACCTCTTTACATACCCTTTGTCCCCTAGTTCTTTCCTCTATGTCCCTTTACTTTCCTCTTGTCCCACTATCATGCTCAGCCTTCATTTGGGTTTCAGTGATTTCTCTCAGTTACATTGCCCTTATTGAATCCCTACCAGGCCTCATGCACCCTCCTTGCCACTGTTTTTGGGTCACTTGTTGCTCCCCTGTCCCTGGGTTGGTCAGCACCACCTCCTTACCCCCTTTTTCCTGTCTTACTATAGGAAATAAAGCTTTTAATTATGTGTAGTAGATAGCAAGAGAAAATATACTTAATAATTATTTGTTTTTCCCTTTACTAAGTAACTGCCTAAATGACATCACAGTTGAATTAATAATGTTACTAATAAATGTTTCATGTTTAATTGTTTATAAGGCAAGTTAAATGATGGTGGAAGGGTGTGTTTGATAACTATCTGTATGGGGAAAAACTTCAGAAGAATAAGGAAGTGTGTTTTCATATAAAGCAAATTATACAGGTAATTTATAATATTGCCTATGTATAATTTTTCTTTATCTAGAAAGCATAATGTTCAAATGTGTCACTTGGTATGTTGATTAGAGTCAAAACCTGTCCTCTGAAGTATTTAAGGGAAGAAAGCTCTGTCCTTTAATCTATACCTCATATAGGCAGACGTTTTACCTGATTGATGAAATGGGAAGAAATGATAGAAGAGGGAACTGCAGTGGGGAAAAGTCTCACAAAGAGCAAAGGAAATGTTTTTTAAAAATTGAATCTTAAAATACTTCATGCCCTGTCTCGTGGGGAAATGAATCAGTGATTACTTGACTGCTTTCTCCCTCTTGTAATTGAATGACATGATTATGTTTCTCGATGTCTACTTAAGTCACAAAAGACCCATTGTCTCAGGTAAGGTAGAATCCTGGAAAGGGACCTGTGGTGGGGCAAAGCAAGCAGGTGGAAATCCCTTCCCGGAACCCAAAGGAGGCTTACCTCTCGCAGAAAGTGTGCAGACACGGGAGAACCTTGGGGTTCTTGTACCGCTCCAGGCAGATACTGCAGATCAGAAACTGCTTGTCAATCTGACGCACCACAGGACTGGGGATGCTCGAGTTTTCACTGGCCATCCTAGACCACTGACATGGGGGTCCGGCTGTCTTTGACCCTGCACGCTGCTGCTGTCAGATGGAAACACGAGAAAGGAAAAGTACATTACAACCTGCTCGTGCAAACCAGCCACGGCTCATCCATTACAGGCACGGGGCTGAGAATACAGGTGGCATTCAACACTAAATTGGTTGCTCTAGAACAGATTCTGGCTCATGGCGACCCTGTGTGCATCTGAGTAAAATGGTGGGCCTTTGGATTTTCTATGCCTGATTTTTTAGAAATGGATCACCAAGCCTCTCTTTGGATGGACTCTGAGTGGACTTGAACCTGCAACTTTTCAGTTACTGTCAGAGCGCATTGACCGTTTGTACCACCCAGGGACTCCAGCCATGACCACTGTCGACTTACATCATGTTAGAGGGAGCAGTCAGTTGCCTGTTGTTTGCTTCGGTAATCGCTGAAATAAACATGTTCACTATGCAAGCAATAGCAAATTAGAAGAGAGTGTGTTGTACAAAGAACTGTGTTTGCCAGTTTCAAAGTAGTGGCAGCTGAGAGGATAAATCTTAGAACTGTTATCTTCAGCCATGACTATATTCGGTTATCTATTTACCTTTACATGCTTGTTAAAATCCTGTTTCTAACTCTTGTTAACACGAAAAGATAAAACAAACAAACCAGCAAACAAAATCCACCAAAACACAGCCAATGGGTGGATTCTAGCCCATAGCAACCCCGTAGCACAGAACAGAAATGCCCTATAGGATCCCCAAGGCTATAACCTTTGCCAAAGATGACTGCTATTTCTTTCTACCATAGAGAGGCTGGTGGTTTTGAACTGCTGAACTTGCAGTTAGCAGTCCAGTGCATCACCCACTATGAAGCAAAAACAAACTCACTTCCCTGTAGTCAATTCCAACTCATAGTGACCCCACAGGACAGGGTAGAGCTGCCTCTGTGAGCTTCTGAGACCTTCTTTATAGGAGTAGAGAGCATCGTCTTTCTCCCGCAGAACTGGCTGGTGGTTTCGAACTGCTGACCTTGTGGTTAGGAGCCCAAAGTATACCAGGAAAGATGCCATATTTACAGAATCAACAACCCTACAGTTTCTAAAATAAGCACTTTTCTAAATATAAATGAGAGCTCTTCTTCAAAAAGAAAAGGAAACTCATGGCCACTCAGTGATCCCACAGGCCTGGGTAGAACTACCCCTCTGGGTTTCTAAGGCTGTGACTCTTTATGAGAGTAAGAAAGCCCTGTCTATCTCCCTTCGAGTGGCTGGTGGTTTTGAACTGCTAGCCTTGCGGTTAGCAGTCCAACGTGTAACCATTACAATCTATGAAATCACCAATTTTTGAAAAAAATTGTCAACATGTTATTATTGCTGATTTAGTTGTAACTTGTGCCCCCAAATAAATGTTAACTTGGCTGGGCCACAATTCTCATGGGCAGTTATGTAATTTGACAGTATATAAATGGTGCGATCTGATGTGATCAGCCAATCGGTTGTAAAGGATTCGAGTGGGATGCAACACCTTTACCCAAGTCACAGTCCTGGTTCAATGTAAGGACAGTTTGCCTGGGGTGTGGCCTACATCACCTTTTACCTTATGAGTGACAAAAGGAGAGAGAAGCTAGCAGAGATGAGGGACCAACTGCTACCAAGGAACAAGAGCCAAGAGTTGAGTATGTGCCTTGAACCCAGGGTCCCGTGTGTTGAGAAACTCCTAGACCCTGGGGAAGACTGATAACACAGTTCCACAGAGCTGATAGAAACATCCTTCTGCTAGAGCCAGCACCCAGAATTAGAACTGCTATCCTCCTATCCCGTGAGAAAACACGTTTCTGTTTGTTGAAGCCATCCACTGTGGTATTTCCGTTACAGCAGCAGTAGATCACTAAGACAGTTAGCAAGAAATGTCTACAATGTGTACATATTTGACTATGGCTCCATATACAATGCACACATTTTCCAGCGCTATACCTCCGAGATAAACTCATCAAGGGATTTGATCAATAAGCAGAAAGAACCCTGAAAAGAGGACCTGCTCTCTAGATTGTCATGTTCCGACTAGTCCATACAAGTAAGACAGGGCAGGGGTAATGTGTCTAATTAGCCACCGGATCTGCTAGACGTCTGATAGCGTCTCCCTGAAGAACTGGACTAGAGAGAATGATAGCCATTGATTGGGTCAGATGTAGTTCAGCTCCCAGGAGCTCCGAATGCTGGCCAGGCATCTGCTTTTCTTCAACCGCATCCTATGACATCAGCATGGAGAATGAATGGGTTTCTGCCTGAAAGATAAGGACGCCAGAGCGGAGGGCTTAATTGACTTCCTCCAGGTTCTCCGGTAAAATCAGGGCGTCCGACAGCTCGGCTGCCAGCTTTGCTGCCCTGTTCGCTGTCGTCTGCAGCAAGTCTAACACTCCATGGACTCACCTCGTACAGGCATTCAAAGCGAGGGACTTTTAAAACAGGATACTGAGCTCTTCAATGAAAAGGCATTAGACATCATTTTGTTTTGTTCCAAGAGCTTTTGGAAAACGTCACACCACCCTTTGAAATAATCAGAGTCATGCTGGGCATTGAGAACCATGGGGAGCAAAGTAGCATGTGGGGTTTTACCCACTTCTATTTTAACCTTAGAGTTTTGCATTTATGGAAAAGGACAAACATTCTTTGATTCAAATGGCATAGGGTAGCCGAGAGCTTCTGTGTCTATATTTCTATGCTTTAAAGTCAAAAATAAACATTTCATTCCCAGTTTATGATGATTATTGTAGCGGGTGAGAGCAAGTCTTGGTTAGTCGTCTACTACATGATAAATTAATTAAGCTCACTCATTAACACTAATTTAAAATCATGACAATACCACGATTTGTCACAGTGGCCTGTTGAAGACATCTGGATTTTTAGGACTCCCAGCATCAACACAAAAGGTTCCCCAGCCTCAAAGACCCCCAAACCAAGACTGTGCCAAGATAACAATCAACCTCCCAATATAATTGGATACTCACAATGAAACGATCATTTGAATATTCCTCATGGGACAGTGTGCTTAGAAAGAATTGCGGCATCAAATGTGCTAATAAGCACTGTGGGAAGTCTTCCATCAGTCTGAATGTGCCAAGAGGAACAAATACAAAATACACAACAGCCTTTAATCAAAGTGGCTGGGTGTTACCAGTTTCTGAGGTCTTTGACCAGAAAAGCAATAATATTCTCTAGACTCCACGAGGCTTCGAAGCGCCAGATAATGGTCTTACATAATCAGCAGAAAGTGAATTGAAACAACTCGCAGCCATTGAGTGGATTCCAACTCAGGGGCCCTACAGGGCAGGAAAGAACTGACCCGGTGGGTTTCTCAGACTGTACTCATGTTTCTCCCACGGGACAGCTGGTGGTTTTGAACTGATGACCTTGGGGTGAGCACCCCAACATTTAACACAGTAGGCCATGAGGGCTGGGTAGTGGGCACTTAGTCTTGAGGTCCCGTCCCTCGCTGCCACCACCTGGGAGCTTTGCTGCTTCAGGCCCCACCCACCCACCACCCACCCGCTGCACCGCCACCGCGCACCCCCCAAACCAACACCAGCACCCCCAACCAGCACCAGCACATCATGGCCCACGAGAGTAGAAATAAATTCCTGTTAAGACTCAATCCTAGAATCACTCTTCTGCTAAATTCACTGCCATCGAGCTTATACTGATTCATAGTGGCCCTATAGGACAGGGTAGAACTGCACCTGTGAGTTTCGGAGACTGTAATTCTTTACGGAGGTAGAAAGCCTGGCAAGGATAGAGCAAAACTAAATTTTGTTGAAGGATCACACCGAAATACACACCCAGGAGCGGCTCTGTCTCTGACGGAGCCCAGTTGCTCTTCTTGTGGGAATGGGCAGTGAGACGTGGACCAGCGGTCAATGGAAAGGAAAAGCTGGAGTAGCGATGGCAGGAAGAGCCATGGGAGACATCAGCCAGCTATAAGAGCGGCCCTTTCCCTGTCAAGGAAAACAGAGGGCACCACTGCTTGCTCATCCTCTCCTCCTGCTTGGCTTACCTTCTCAATCAGGCCCCACCCTGGCCATCATGTTGAACATAGTCACTTCCCCAACTGCCTGGCACTCTCTCCCAAGCCTCTCTCCTTGCTGTGTTTTCCCCCATAGCACTGGTTCCCTTCAAATACAACAGTAAGTCAAAAGGTATTTCCACAAAACCAGAGAAACCCTTATTGAACCAAAATGTCAACATGCAAGGCGACTGCTTCTGGACACAGCCTCCATCTGGGTCTCTACAGTGCTTCCATCTCCTGAAGCCTGCCCCAAAGAATAAGGCACTCTCCGATGTACACCACATCGAAACGGCAGGTTGGGCATCCTCGGGGGCTTGGATTATATTCCTTTTACATGTCCTTTGAGTTTAAGGAACAAAGATTAATGTCTAAAGGTAAGATCAGGTTTAAAAAGTGGATGAGGAAAGATTTCCCAACCAAATTCTTATAGGACACCCCTTGTGACCCTAGAAAACGGAGCAGGCCCATTGTTGATGGAAAAATATTCTTCACACAACTTTCCTGGGTGTTTTCCCTCACCAATGCAGCTTTCAGTTTTCCTTAAACACCCCTTCAAGCATCCTTTGAGAAATCTATCAGATGGCCTCTTGGGAAGAATCACATTAGAAGGTTCTGGACAGAGCGGGAGAAGAATACGGAAGGAAACTCCAAATCAGACAGAGAAGGCCAAGCTTACTGGTAGGCTGGAGAAAGGGGGCACTTTCTAGACCAGGGCCCTTTCTCACCCTTCCTGTCTGGAATTTTCGGCCACATCAATGCCAGGCCTACGAGAGGAACGGTAACACTGGAGAGGTGGTCACCTTAGAATAAGCAATCCTCTGAGACCAAAAGGGCAATGTTTACCCAAGAGGAGAGGTGAGGATTTAGGAAAGGAGGAGGAATGGAATCCGGAAGTGGGGAGGGAGTGGGATGAGGGACTTTACCTTGTGTGGGCTGCAATGAGTGCAAACAAACAAAACATGCACGAATTGCTGAATGGAAAACTCACAATCTGC